CATTCAGGTATAATACATTGTCTCCAAGTTTTCAAACAGAACTCAATGGTGGAGAAACGTATTTCCTCTGTTGTGTGAGTATTTTTAAGACTTTCCAGGCCCAGTCGAGTGTGCTTGTGAGCCCAGCTACTGAAGAGGCTGAGGCGAAGGGACAGCAAGTTCAAGGGCAGTGCAGCGCAAGCACACGGAAAACCTACCTCAGAAAAAGAACTCCCCGCTTACTGAACCTGCCACTCCTATTCTGGACCTATCTCTTCTGAGCCTCATTTCCAAAATGCCCTTTTTGGTAAAGTCTAATTACAAATCTACCTGAAAAAAGTAGATAATTACTCTATGAGTGGACTGACTTCCCTCAAGTTATGCAGCACAGCCAACATTTATCTGAAGAATTAAGTTCACTTTATAAACAAAGCAGGTGACACCTGTGAAGGTCACCTCTAAAAATCCTGCTTGAGAATATCAGCAGGGGTTAACCACTGCTCTTCCAGGTAGAAAGCCTGCAGACTAATTCTGGATCTATTTCACAGGGATTGCAGGAGCCAAATGACTTCTTACAAGGTGGCAATCGTGTAATAACACGTGCAACCCACTCAGTAGAGTACATGGAGACAGGAGGAGAGGACTGGAAAACACAAAGGCAAACTGCCATTAGTGCTTAAGCTTCAAAACAGGATCTGCACACATCACCTCAGCCGGGCTGCAGTCAGGCCTGGAGGTGGAGCGGGAGCATGTGGGGACACTGGCCAGGTGTGCGGCAGGTGCGGGATCCCTCCTGCTAGGCCAGGCTTGCTGGACACTGCTACTATATAAACTGGGGTCCGCAGAGGTCTAGCGCGGCCTCACAGGAATATCCACCCCATGGCCCCTCACTGCCGACACTTTGCTCTTGCTGGGTGCCTTCTTAGAAACACACAACTTTGCGCACTGGATTTGGGTCTCTGGAAAGTCATTACCATGTCTGCTCGTGAAACCCTCTGAAGACCATGAGGCTAAATGCAACTAACCTTTCCCCCAAACTACTGTGCAAAGACTTTAAAAATATTTACATGTTAAGTAAGTTATTATATTCACATGTAAAGACTGATTATTTAAAAAGATGTGAAGAAGTATTTTCCTACCGGCAATATAGGATTTTACTTCAGAAACCGTCTTCATTCACCATTTTTCTGCCTGTGGATTTACACAGCCAAAACCATCTCTCTTCTCAGCACTGAGTCCACATACAGATAAAGCACATTTTCTCTAAATCTAGAAGGCATCGGGCTCCATTTTGGAAGAAGGCTCCCAAGATTACTTAAGAGAAGTGCTGATTCGTAAAGCACAGGCCTCATCTTTGGAGGGCAAGTAATTTCTAAGGGATTTCAGCAAGTGCCCATGACCTTTGGAAAGGTCTCCTGTACCTTCAGGGGACAGCGACAGGCACAGCAGGCCAAACACACAGGTCAGCACTCAGCCACCACGCAGGGGCAGCATCCACACACAAGGGCCACGGGCAGAGAGCTGGCCTCCGCAGTCCTGGCCCTGAGCCCCGCGGCGCTGGCAGGAGGACGGCAGGCCTTCCCAAGGACATGTCCTCAGTGCCCTGGGACCCCCTGTCCTTCACTCACTTCCATCCCTGCGGCTTATGGTCTCTGGGACCACTCCTTACACTGAACGTGCTTCAACAGCTACTAACTAGACCTGCACAGACTCCCCCCAAGATTCCACCTAGAGACAGCAGACTTTTGCCAGAAGTAACAGAGACTGCAGGAGCTCCTCCAGTGTGGACAGCTGCAGACACAGCTTGCTGCACCTGCCAGAGAAAGGCCATTGGCTTTGACTCCCATTCAGAATACCCATCTGATCAAATATTTGCCCCAACAACGTCATGCCAGGAGGGGCTGGTGTTCCACTGTCCCAGGCCTGTATGGCTTGGCACTGTCTGGGCAGGACGGCAGTTGGTAGGATCCGGACCCATGCTTGCTCTGCCCTATCCGGGTAGGGAGAACTGGAGCCTCTCTACCTGGCATTTTAAGACATGTTCAGTAGGTGAAATGGATCCAAAGGCACCTACTGAGGTAGACAATTTTCTAATTCAGATTTCTCTCAAATCTACCACAATGATGAGAGGATTTCCAGCAGAAAAATCCACAATAGTGGACCTTCCTCCATATTACTTTACAGCTACATTAAGTATAATTAAAACAATCAAAAATATGCATTAAGAATCCATCATCAACATGTTTAGATTACCTAAAGAAAAACTGTGCTTATTCCCAGCAAGCAAGTGTACGCTACCACACCCGCCAAGGCAAGGATTTTATAAAGGCGAAGTCACACTGACCTGCATGCGCCATCTGTAACTGTCCTGCCTGAGCAAATGCAGGGAAGTGTGCACTGCAGACATAACATGTGCCCAACAACACACGCCCGTTAATGATGCCAGACAATGCACCGACGTGCGAACTGGTCGCAGGGAAGCTTATTTACGAGTCGGGGACTCTTGTTCCGTGGAGGAAGCACTTACACAGCCTACACCTACAGTGTTTCTCTCAAGGATTAGCCACTGAAAACAATGGTACTGCAGAAACTCCAAAAGACAGCAGAGGAACAACTGTCTCTGTACTACAAAGCTAACTGGGTATTGATACTAAGAAATTACTGACACACTTAATGGTATTCTGATGAAAGATTTTTATCTTTGTTTTTGTTCGGCAGGACTGGAGTTGAAGTCAGGGCCAGAGCTACATCTGGTTCAGAGAATTAAAAAATGGCACTTGTTCCACCTAAGCTTTTGCTGTTTTCCTCCCTGAAATGCTGATTGTGAACACTTGGGGATAAAGACGTAAAGCAATAGTTAACATCAAGACAGCAGGGAATGAATCTATCAGGTAAGGAGTATTCTTGATTTTCAAGAAAGATTCAGAACTTTCGTGTTAAGAGTGTGGGTCCTCAGAAATTTCAGGTACAGATGTGACAATATGACATATAAAATTTTCTGGAGTTTTTCCAATTAGAAAAAGATCAGCTGGGTGTGATGGTGCATGCCTATAGCCCCAGAACTCAGGAGGCTGAAGCAGGAGCATTATCAGTTTAAGGCCAGTCTTAGCAACATATCAAGTTCAAACGCAGCCTATACTACTAGCAAGACCCTATCTCAAAAATTTAAAGAAAAATTTAAAAAAATAAAAAGTCTATGTGCTGCTTTTGTAAATAAAACACACATCCCAGAAATTCCAGTATTTTCATGTCAATTATTCAGATTGTTTCTTGTGTACTTACGTAGGAAAAGCATTCACGAGATGGCAAACGTCCTGCGCATGCAGCACGCAGGGCACTGCACTGCCACTCTCCACAAAGGCGCCTGGCCTATTTCTCCACCACGGAGAGACAGCCATCACCGTGGCCTCTTGAAAGCTGCCTACACTTCCGACTATGGGCGTCCACAGCACAGCTTCACACAATTCTGCCTTCCCCGCTCAGCGATGCTTGGCAGAACCACAATGAGTCATGCGCTTACCCGACCTGTCACATCATCGTCTCCTCCAAGGCCCACAAGCTCCAAGACCGGCTCCTTGCCCATCTCCATGCCCATGTCCAGCCCCAGCTCAGTGCTCCGCTTGCGGATGCGACCCTGGCACTGATGGCCAAGCCCCACTCCCCGGAGCTCCAGCATTAGGTGCCTGGACCCTGCCTCAGAGCTGCTGATAGGACTGGGACAGAGGCGCAAGGCCAGGAACTGGCAAGTAGGAAACACCCGGGGGATTCTGAGGGGCAGTCCAGGGTACGAGACTCAAAAGAGCAGACTCAAATTAAGTAGACCTAAAGCACAGGGAAATGCTCTTGGGTATTACCAAGACAAGGACCACTGCATCATCTGCTGAGATTTCCCCTGGCTACAAGTGTAATTCATAACTTGAGCAGGAATTCCAATCTGTATCATTAGAGACACAGGAGGCTTCCTGAAATATCAAACCCTGAAAAGAACAGAATCAGAACTCAAAGCACTCAAATCCTGGCCAACTAGAACCGCCCAAATGACTCCAACATGGGAGCACCACCAGTTCTCCACACTCCCCTTCCCGCACTGGCAGAGCCACTCCTGCTTCTACATGTCTTCTCAGCTCGAGCACCGTGGCCCTCGCAGGGGACCCAGCAGGGGACTCAGGGCATCATCCTGCTTCTGCTCAGGGCATGCTCTGTTGTCCCCCACCTGCCCCAAGACTGTCCCACTTCAGATTCCCACTCCACTCAGACCTTGGAATAGCTCTGCCCTGACCTCAGAACCCTGGGCCCAATTTTCTTCCAGAGATAGTTGTGGAAGTCCACCGATCCTGCTCTTCCACTCGGCACTGAGCCTGCCCGTGTCCCGCATAGCTCTGTTGGATTCAGTCCACTCAGTATTTGTCAGAAGGCAGGACTTTGCCAACCAAAGGCAGTACAGCTGCAGGAGAGTGCAGCTTTACCCTTTCCCTTCAAGCTCACCCCAGGGCCCTGGCTCGGCTGCCCACCTCACCCGGGCAAGCTACTTCCTGGGCCTCCCAGACGCCTTCTTACGCCATGGCTCCCCACAGAACACCATGTTCTTTCTCCTTGGACATGTTTTGGTTAGTTCCATGCTGAGTGCCCTCTCCTTCCCTTCAGGGACTCCTCGAAGCAGTGTTGCTATCTGCTCAGTGCACCATAGTGGGTGCAAGGAGAACTCGGCACCTGCCTGGCCCAGCACTCTCGGGACAGAGCCACCTCCCTCCCGGGAACGTGCCCCTTAACACAATCCTCTGACCATCCTACTACCCAACACAAAGGCAGACACACCTCAGGTCTTTCCTCTCCTTGTTCTGCTCCCACCTGCAGATCCACGCTGTACACTGGGGCAGGGATGACAAAGCCAGCCCTATGGGTGCCAACACGGAACCAGGACGGCTTGGGACACCCCACCCCTGAGTGGTGAGCATCCCCACGTGTGCAGGGGATGGGAGGGCCAAGCATCAGGCCAGGCAGGAGAAACCGTGACACCTTGCCTTTCAGGTCTTTCACGTAGCCCTCCTTGCAGCTGTGCATGAGATGGAGGATCCACCTGTGCTGGGCACCAATGCACTGCCACGCAGGGTCGCCGGGCGCACGCAAGTCAGACAGATACCTGGAAAAGCATGGGGTGCTCTGTCAGTGAGGTGCAAGGTAAGGCTGGCCTAGTGTAGACTTTCCTTACAGAAAAATAGCAGTTAGATCAAACAGTAAAGCACTTGTCAATATTAATGTCTTTCATTTTCAATAAGATATATTTAAATTTCCTTTCATATAATAACAGATGACAAAGCAGTACTATTATAAACTTAGCTTTTGAAGACAACTGAAAAAGACAAAGATAAACAGACAATGCCAGGGGCTAGGACAGAGCACCAACACGCACAGTGCCTGCACGGCCAGTAGATGGCACCGTGACCCCATATTCCAGAACAGGCTGAATGCAGGCAGCTGAAAACAAAAGTTATCTCTGGGGGAAGACTAGTGTGACCTTATCTCGAAATCCTAAATCCTAAATCCCTACACCTCATGACTAAGAAAATACTTCCCTGTATCGTACATGACCAATGCATTTTTTCGTACTTTTCTGTAGTATTTTTTTGACATCTAAACTCTTTTTCTGCATAACACACCCAAACCCTGATAGTTAATAAATTTCATTAGAAAATTTTGTTGAAAATTATTCAAGACAAAGCCTTCAGTCTTGAATAATTTGGCAATGTACCTTACAACAATACATTACTGTAACAGATTAAATCCAACTAAATAAACTCCAAGGGTATGTTAAAATAAATTTATTTCTCAAAATCATTTAACTTAAATTTGTCTTGTTTTAGGATCAAAGATTTCTAAGGCAGGCATGGTGAAGAATGCTTCTAGTCCCAGTGCTCTGGGAGACCAAGGTAAGATGACAAGTTCAAGCCCAGCAGAGCAACTCAGCGAGACTATCTTGTCTCAGGCATCCTCCTTATTTATTTATTCATTTTAATAATTTTATTGAGAAACAAATGCAATGAGACAGTTTCAAAACCAATTATTAGCACAATTTCAATAATTAATACATTGCATATTGTTGTTTTAGTGGTTATTCACTGTACAAGATGCAGACATGATATCCTGTCCACAAACACTATTAGAACAAATTTTTCTATGCACTGAATTAAGAGAAAGTAGCTGTATAGCTATCCTATTTTGAATATAAAGATACAAAATGGTCGTTCATTTGTATCCCCTTTTTTATTTAGTTTTGCCAGAGAAGGGTATTCCACTGTTAAATATTATAGATGCATGAATTCAGCAAAATATTCTAATATAGTCCAGTAGTCCATAATCGTAGTGAGTTTTCTATAGGACTGGAAATGTCAGAAGTTGTTGACTTGAGCCTTTTACAGCTCAGCATATTAATATGGCCTTACTTTTTATACTTTGTTTTTATACTTCTCTGCTGGATAGTTAAGACCAAGATAAAGCAAGACCCATATAATAAGAAATGTAACTTTTGTATCTGGTAAGGTCAGTCGAGTACCCTCAGGATTTACCCTGAAACCCTGTACCACAGTTTGTAGATCCTTTGTGAGTGCCAGACATGTGGATGAGTCACGGCCATTGCCTGACCAATTTGCTTTCTGTGAAAGCCTGAGAGACTGTATTCTCTCCATTTGACTCTCCTTAGGTACACTCTACATCATCGATCACTTTCCTCTGTGGCCCCATAATCTCCTTGATCAGAAAATTTGGGACAAATCTGAGTTACAGGATATTACAGTACAGGTTCTCCTATGTCCTGAGTCTTACTGAAAGGCTAGGGCCAAAATGTTGGCTGTCCTTGCAGCCCTTCTTTTTCTCTAATTTTTGGTCCGCACACTTAGGATGTTAACCTTCCAGAAGAGAAGCTTATTATTATTACCCTACAACACAGGCAGTTGAGCTTAACCTCACTATCTGTCTGAATATCAAACATCTTAGACATAACATGGAACAGGTGTTTTCCATACGTACCACTTGTCATGACATACCAATTACTGCCATACTATCTCTTCTCAAGTAAATGTTTTTCTTTTTTTAAAAAGGGTAATAAATGAAAACAGACAAGAAAAAAAGTCACAGGACTGTCCTGCTACAATGCTGTATATGGTTAGATTTCTAAAGTTCTGTGTAAAAATCTGTAATTGTTTATTCCTATTTTTTAATGTTTCTAATTTTTTTCTTCGTATTCTGTAGGGACTCAAAGCTTAACATATCAGTATTTGATGGAAAACACCCGTCCTCCTTATTTAGAGCTCTCAATGGCAGCTGATTACAAGCGCACACTCCATCCGACAGCAAGGTAGCAGCACATCAAATGTTGAGAGATCTGTCCCTGGCCTTGAGGAGCTGAGGGGCGGGCCGGCGGGCGGGCAGGCACTGGGGGTCCAGGCAGGTCCTGAGAGAGCAGCTCGAGTCCCACTCTTGGGCTGCCACTGCTCCACTCCCTGTGACTCCAATAGGCTGAGGGCAGGTAAAAACCTCGGCTGAAAAGGCACCGAGCCAGATCAACAGGGACATCAGCATCTGCAGTCACTCAGGACTCCTCCTCACATCACAAAGAGCAGCCCACGAAGCAGTCGACACCCTAACATATCACACTTAGCCTGGCACACACAACGCACTCCACAGCTCTAAAACTCAACTGCACTCTTCCACTTATGCCAGGCTTTCCTTTCTGATTTTCCAGAAATACCAGCTTCACGCCTACTAAGGAGACTTCCTTTCAGTAATCTCCCGAGAGGCTTGCTTCGCCGGCAAATACGCAGAACTATCTCCTAACACTGTCACGCATGCAACCTTCAGGTCTGCCGGGGGTAACAAAATATGGGGCTATTCTTTGGAGAAGCTGCCTTTTTTTAAATGCTAAATGGAATGTCCGTGGTCATGCCCAGGGCTTTTCTCAAGCAGTAAAGCAAGAAAAATCAAAACACGTTGCCTTAGTCATTTTTAAAATTGGAGTTCTCTTGAGTATGCTGTGTCCTTGTAAAATTTAGTAATAATCCTTTTTCTATTCCTTTATCAATAATAAATTAAGGCAGTTTAGATGTACGTTACCAAGCTACTCATTCTCTCAGAAATTCTAGGATGTCTTAGTTCTGAAGTAGAACAGCTTATTCTAGGCTCTCACAAGAAGTTTCTTTCTTTTTTACATAAAGCTTAACAACAGTTCCATTACAAAGATCTAAAAAGCCTTTAAGGGGTGTTGTTTAGTATGTAATTTTAAATAGTAGTAACATGCTACATTCCATAGGCTTTTTAGAGAGAAAAGCAAGGCAAGGAAGTTAATTATGATGAATGTAGGCTCAATATTTTAAAATTTAAGAACTGAAGTCTGTAGCCATAATCAGGCATGATTTTTACCCCTCCACAGCAGCAGGACACAGCCACGCAGAGCGCAGCCAGTAAGCTCTGCTTCACTCTGGGGCTGCTGTGTCCTCTCCTGGCATCAGCCAGGATGATGAACGACAGTGACGAGAAGAAATATAATGGTAATCTAAGTGCTGTATGTTTCCAGAGCATCAAAGTAAGAAAATGATTAAAAAATAAACTATTAGTGACATTCCTGTTATTGTCCACTTAAAATGACAAGAAAAAAGTATAGGATGGGTCATTTCTCCTGACAGTACCATTTTTTCAACACGACCCAGGAGGACAACGTGGTCACAGGAGTGGTGGTACACCTGTCCTCCACACAGACAGAAATTCTCCCACAGAGAAATCCCAGTCGGTGGGATTTGACGTGTGACGTGGGCAACGTGAGGAAGACATGGCGGTGGCTGAGGGAACTCCCAGCACGCTCGCCCACTCTGGAGCCCATCGGATGGCTGCTGCACACCAGGTCCCCTCCAGCCTCCCTACGTGGAGAGCGTGAGGCAGTGGGGTCCCCAACAGACGGCTCATGTCCAGTTTTACATTTCTCAGTCCTACAAGCAAGAAGAGCCCTCCAGGAACACTGCGCTGAGAGATGTGGTGCAGAGCGAGTGCAGGGAGGCTTCCAGCTGGCCCAAGGCCTTCCCGGGTGTGTCCTCATCCGCAGCCCAGCGACAGTGCGAGGCCCTCCGGGGAGGAAAGAAGCAGAAAGCACCCGGCGGCTGCCTGGCTCGCGGCCCGGGCTCTGCGGCGGCACTCATCTGCGGGCTGCGCTCTCACTCCGGGCCTGCCTGCCTGCCACCTGGGCAGCTCCAGGCACCACCAAGGAGCAGCCCGCCCGGGGCAGCCGAGCCACTCAGCCCTGTGCCTGCGGAGCACACAGCAGCCCACACGCCGGGCCCCTCCCCACGACTAGGGGTCACATCCACTGATCAAAGGACGACGAGAGCCCGAGCCCTAGAATACAGGCCACCAGCACTCTGCAACTGGGACAGTCGGTGCACTGCACTGATTCTTGAAGAGAAGGTCTTCCACAGGAAAGGAACAGCTTCTTCTAAGAAGGAGGGCCATAAGGAGATACCCAGCAGAAAAGAAAGTATTTTTGAATCTCTGACATAAAAAGCTTATGATTTATATTGTCTCCAAATACTGCCACAAATTATACAACTATAAACTTCATAACTACTTATCGTGTGCCAGGTATTGTGTGAAGTCCTTCCAAAGGTTCCGAGTTCGAGTCTCAGCACCAAAAATCAAAAGTGATTATTCCATAACTGCTCCCAATTTATTAATATTCAAAAGAACTTTGGTGTCCCACATCAGATACTCGTCAGTTTCTCCTTTTTGTTTTCACTTTCTCCACTTCATTGGATTCCCAGAATTCCCCAAATTAGCTTTCAGGGTCCCATGACATAACCAGTAGCAAACATATGTGATTTGTCAGCATTCCTGCCCAAGTTTACCTTATGTAACGTTTTTGGTCATGTAAGGTCGATGGCGTCTCAAGCAATTTATCCAGGAGTAATTCTTGTAAAGCTTCAATACGTGTTTCTACTTCAGCATAATCTAGTTTTAAAAATATATGTATACACACAAAAGTTACAAAACCAAAATTTAAAGTTAAATTTTATGAAGCAGAACAGTGCCTGCTCACTGACAAGGACAAGAGCCCTCTGGGGTCAAAGCCCACTCTCCCAAGCACATGGTACACTCTGTCCGAGCCCACTGGCCTGTGACGTGGAGGGCCTGCACA